TCTGTGTTATTGTGTCAAAATAAGCAGCCATCGCGGCTTGTGAAGGACTAACATGACGTCGCTGCCAAGTTTATGACGTCACAATGCATAGGTAAGCTCGCTGACTAGATAGTTTACACTTGAATAAAATTGCTGTGTTCTTTTGTTTTGGTCTTGTGTGTTATTTGTTAATGTTTTGAGGAAATCCAGTTTGAAAGATGATGCAACAGGTATCAAAAAGATGATGCAATAGATCTAAAAAGATGATGCAATAGATATCAAAAAGATGATGCAATAGATATATAAAGATGATGCAATAGATCTAAAAAGATGATGCAACATATGTACTGAATTAACCCGGCTATCCTTAGAACCCCCTAATCTGCACTCCCTTGACCCGCCTACCCCCCCAGGGGCTGCACTCTCTTGACCCACCTATCCCTCACAGGGGCTGCACTCCCTTGACCCGCCTATCCCCCCAACCCCAAAAGTGCACTCAGTTGACCCAGCCATCCAGGCGCCTTATACTACTAACGAGATAATTAACTCGTTATAACGAGATACTAACTCGTTATAACGACATAATTAACTCGTTATAACGAGTTAATTTTTTTTTATCTTCTCAGAAATGAGCCTATCCGGCTTTCCCATCCCCCACAAAGTAGGATTTTTTTTAGAGACAAGTTGTCTTTTTTTTCATGCTCCCTCCCTCAGAAATGATATCCTCTGTCTGAACTTTGACGTAACTAAAACAGTGCTAACTTCCAAACCAAAGATTCCGCGTAGCAACTCTTTTTTTCTTTTTTGAGTGGGGAAAAAAATTTGAAAGCAAAAATAATTTTTTTAAAAAAATGAAAATTACATATTTTTTGTGTGTGTACATATATATCTCTTTAGGTTAATGAATATTGGTATTTTTATTTTGTTTATAAAACGATATTTTGAAAGTGATGTTCTCTCTTTTTCAATTTTTTTTTTGTGTGATCCGATGCTAGTGTCTGAATGCGAATGAGAAAGTGTGGGGTGCAAATATACTCTAAGCCGATGTTTTTTAATTTTTTTTATTATGTACACATGCATGGTCACTTTAAAATCTTCGGTGTGACTTTATATTTTTTCATTACTTAAAAATGTGAAGAAAGAAGCATTTTATTAATTTCTTAAGAGTATCTATATAAAACGTAAAAGGTAATCATGTACTTTTAATAGACTCAATTTAAAATCCAAAAATTTAATATCAAACATTCTACATGGTCATATGTGAGAAATTGCGAAAATTAAATATGATTTTGCTTTTAAAATCAATTGATATGCAAAACAAATATTCTATATTTACATTCTAATTTACTTGTATATATTACGTAGATTAAATCTCACATATCAGTAAATCTAAAGTTATAGCCATCATCTGACTTTTTGTGAATGCGTCTTGTTTATGTAATCTTCATTTCTTTATTTCCTCTATCTATTTATTTATTTATACAAAAATTCAAAACCTGATTCTTTTAGAATAGCAACCAAAATATTTGAATATAAACTCACGGCTTTTTTCCACTTCATGCGTCGGTTCTGATACCAGGTCTTGACCTGGACCTGTGACAGCCCGAGGGAGTCGGCCAGCTCTAACCGGTCAGGTGTGGACAGGTATTTCTGGGACTCAAACCTCTTCTCCAGACCGATCAGCTGAAGCTCGGTAAACACCGTACGACTCCGCCGGCACTTCTTGGGTTTCAGGAATCCTGCGGTCTCCCCGGGGGAGCGGGACCGTATGTAGACCGGAAGCGGAATCGGTAGAGAGCTCGTGTCCTGTAGATCCAGTAACGACTCCATCGGGAAGCCTGGGGTAAAAAATAAATATGTACTGTAGTAAATTTTTACAAAGTTTCTTACATTTGCTTATTTATACATGTATATGTATGATTTTTTTTAGCATGCTGTAAATTAACGTATCCGCAATAATATTTGCAATCTATATTGTAAGTGATTACACGGAAAGTAGAAATTTAATTTATATCGAAATGTTATATTTGAAAATTTACAAATTTGTCGGTCTTTCAACCTTTATAATAAAAGTTCAAAATTGCAAATATTACATTCTTCCAGTAGTCTTTAGAGTAAGCATTACAAGAGATGACTATGATATTAAAATATAGGAAACTAAGGTGAAGTATAATCTAGCGCAAAATTCCATAAAAAAATACAAATTGTAGGAAGAACAAACGCGGACATCTACGGTTTCAGAATTTATTTCACATTCTAAGATTTATATTTTATTCATTAATTTTTATTTCTTTTAATGCAGATTTTTCGGTGTCATTTTCTAAATAGAGGATTTCATATTGTAGGTAATTTTTATCTTTAAAAAAAGAAGGAAGAACTTGATTTATATTTTTTTTTAACTTATGAGTTCTTAAAATTTACTGTAAGAAAACTACATGTATAGATTCATCAGCTTTTTTTTCATATCAATTATTGCAAGGGATTAAACTAAAAAATTTCACACTCCAGGGTGTTAGAAAATGTTTGAAAAATATATCAACATTCAAAAAAAAATAAATAAATAAATAAATAAATGAAGAAAAAAAATCTCGTAAGTTTGTTGATGTTACAGTTGTATAAAATTGTATAAATGTGAAGATATAAATAAATTCAGTTCAGCGATAGATGGATATAAATTTGAAATTTCATGATTTCTTTTTATTATAAATGGAATAAATGGAGATATTTAATGTAATATTTAAATAAATGTTGTTCTTTCAAAATATATAAAAATTTCATATACCGGTATATAATCTGATATTGAAATTATTTCTTACAATTGAGAGGGGTTTTTCCCCCAAATAATATCTAATTCATAAGTTTCTTACTTTAATTTTAAAAAAGCATCAAAACTACAGAAATATGCTACATCAAAGCTTTTAAATTTAAATGTAAGAGTATAGTTTTTGAACAAAGATATTTGATGAATGTACGTCTCTAATATGATAAATTACTCTTTCAAATTACTTTTAAAAACTTTACTTATCAATTATTAATTTATTTCACCAAGTTATTCCAAATTCACTGGAGTGTTACCCAAATTTTAATCTTGTTACACTAGCTGGAAAACTATCATACAAAAATACCACATGTATAATTTTTTTTTAATGCAGTGTAGCCATAAAAATTTACATTAAATTATTAAGAAGAAAATATATATGCCTTTCTTTTTTATTAGTGAAATTAAGAAAACAATCACGTTTTTAAAACGAACTTCAGCGATTTATTATTCCGACCTTTAAATAGCATTCCCCTCAATTGAGATATTACTTAATACAAAACCTATATTTTACAAAAAATTCTACTGAAATATTAAAATTTGATGTTCAACTACAAATCTTTTATATCAACTATTTAGATTTTGGGGACAAATATATTTAAGAAAAAGAAATTAAAAAAATAAATTCGCATAGTTTGTATTGCAGAAATTATATCAATATAACGCTTTGTTTGTATATTTATCTATTTAACTTGGAAATTCACTATTTACTGAAAAAATAATATCCTGAATTTTTGTTGTAAATTACCTCTGTAGGCCAGAGAATGCGCCCTGGAGGAGGGGACCAGGGGTTGATGCTGCATCACGTGACTGGGGTAAGGGCCCGGGGGGTAAGTGGTCGTGGACTGGTCCCTGTGGAGGTGCTCATATTCCGGGAACTTTTCCGCCGTACCAATAGGCCTGGAATCAGGTCCTAGAATGTCCCTTATGTAGAAGGAGGAGTTCGGCGGTGGTCGCAGTGATTGTGAATTTTGACCAAACATCACAACATAGTTAATTATGCTAAAATCCCAAAATATTAAAAATATAATTTCCTTTGTCAGAAATCATGAAAATTTCTCAAAAAATACTACGTTAGGACATGAAACCCCGCTAAGTGTATAATGCGGCACTAAATACATAAGCGATATTCTTAAACGCCTCCTAATGGCCACTCAGCGACTCAAAGAGGTGCTGTACGATGTTGGAACTGCGATAAAATCAGGCGATCATATGTAATTTTCTCAATATTTGCTGACTTAATTCGCCAATCAAGAGTGATTAGTGTTAAACAAATAAAGAATGTGCAATACATTCCAGATGTGATGAGGATATGATTGTAAATGTTTATCTACATCTAATGATGCCCAGCTCAATCGGCAAAACAAACTAACGGGCACATGTCTTTTCCAGAATAAAGGAGGATCAAGTAGCCACTGGAACCACACACGGGGGGCCGCCAGGAGTTCCCACGTTCAACACCCCTCTTTTTGGGTTTTTGTCATGAGGTTTTACTAAGATTTTTTTGTCTTGTTTGTTTGTATTGCAATGGTTCAAACAAATTGGTTTACAGGTTGCCCTTTCCCATTCTTAAAGCTTTTTGATGTTAGCTTTGAACATGGGAAATAAGTTGCGTTTTTAGAAACAGAAATGAGCTATTTACGTTTCCACAAAAAAATGTAATTTCATTTTCAATATAAAGAATAGAAGGTGTGGGCTTCGCGGCTAATAGAAATACATTTTCAATGACAGTGACTTTATACATGTAATATCATGTTATGTTAGTGTTTGATCGATCAGCAGGGATGTACGTAACATTAAGGGGGTGGGGCTGCCTCCCCTTTTTTCGGACATAACTTTTTACTATAGAAAATGTAGTCCATTTGACCCCTTCACTTTTTGTTGCAGTATAGTCATGTAAGAGTAGTGTAGTATGTTTCTGTTAAAAAAAATGACACTGCAAGAAATTGAATCCCAACAAAAACATCCCCCACGAAATAGGATTTTCGAGTTTGGACAATTTTTTTTTGGGGGGGGGGGGTGTCAAGTTTTTTCATGGAAGTTGATATTTTTTTTTTCTCTGACTGCCTCCCCCCTCTCTTAAAAACGATACTTCTTCACTTATCAAGTAAAGCATATATAAAACAATCAGACAGTTTACCTACAATAATAATCTCCGATCAAAAAGAATCCAATAAAATGTTCATTAAAGTTTTCGAAATACCAAAACTATTCTAAATTTTCATTTCTTCAGAACTATAATACACACACGATTTCATTAAAAGATGTGTATATATAATCACAATATACATGGGTTGCCTTCTTCCTAATGTTTTTTGGGGCTCAAATTGTGCCGTTTCCAAAATTAGAAAATAGTTTTTGTTCTTTTAGAATAGACAATTTAATGAAAATTAACGTTAAATGTGTTTTTTTTTTTTTTTTTTTTTTTTGTTTAAATATTTTAATTGATTTACCCAGCAAAACCCCTTTAAAAATTCCCGCGAATTGAAATAACCTCCAACCTTGTATTTTCGCAAGTAACTCCTGGTAAAAGTAATCCTTTAGTTTTGGCCAAAAAAGAAATCCTTATATTCTGAAAAAGTTTTCCAACATTAAATACAGTTTATCAAAAAGTTAAAATTTACTTCAAATACAATACTTTTCATATGAAAGCTCTGAAAAGAAGCAATGAATTCTGTACATCTTATGATTTGAAATGCATCCTTTTAAGATTTTACAATCCTTTCTAAAGAATTACTCGAGGAATTATCCTTGGATACATTACCCCCGGATAAACACTCTCTGTTTAGATGAAGTTGATACTTGGCCAATTTGCCCTGTAACAAGCTCTGAGCTTGATTGTAAATATTGGAGTCGACAGGGACAAATTCTACTGTCAGTCAGTGCTACAACCCGACACTGATAAAATAACGTGCGGCAACTTTTACATGTATCATAAATAAGGGGTCAGCGCTGGAGATCACTCCATGAGTTTTAATAACAAATCCAATATTATATGGATACCATTAATTCACCTTACTCTGGGCTTAAAAAAGTTTAGGAATTGATTTCCATGTGGAAAATATCAGTCATAATCAGTGTCATACATCGCCTATCATGATCTAAACAAATACAATGTATAATGTTAACAACAATTAATATTTTCTAAACCCTACTTACGTCTGAAAATGTTATTTAATGCTGCATTACATTTCAAAATTGTTTTAAATCCCTAGTGTGTCTCTCCATTTAGGTAGTTTCTAAAGTTTGAATGCTTGCTTTTAATCTATCACTTTACAAACTGCTATTTCGTGATTTTTTTTTTCCTTCCAAAACATTTTCAATTTAAAAAAAAAAAAAAAAAAAAAAAAAAAAAAAAAAAAGAGCCCCATCCTAAGTTAGTTGATAAAGCCTGAAAATTGGACATAGGACATCAAAGTAATTTTTGTTTTCACTTTCCTCCACCATTCACAAAATTACTTTTTATATGTAATCCCTCCTCAAAATGATTTAACTGACCATTAACACCCCCAACTTCTTAGGATAACACAGTATATAAAATATTGTAATATAAATAATATTTATTAATAATACATTTTATGTACAAAAATTGTTCTGCATAGATCAAGACAGGGGCGATAACTTTTGTAGAAGCTTGTCAATGTGCCTGAAAAAAAGAAGCCACATATGTAAAATACTTGTAAACATTGTAAGAAAATAAAACTGATGCATGCAGATCTATATTTTTTCATACCATTAGAGTACAGTAGACGGAATTTTTAATGACTTACCCTAGCTGTTGTTCAAACTGTGATCGCTGGGCACGAAGGATCTGTAACAGCTGATCCTCAGGGAATTCCCCATCAGATTCATAACTCTCCTCTAAAACAGAAAAAAGAATTTATGAATGCATTTCAATACAATAAGGATATTATCTATTTTAATAATACAGTAAAACAAGACTCACTTATTGTTATCTAAAAGATACTTTTGACAGGAAGGATTTAAAACTTGCTTTAAACTTAAATTTTAGAATTCATTTAACTTCAAATATTCAGTTTATAATTTTCTGAAGTCTAAACTTTTTTCAAATTTTGTATTACAGTTATATTTTAATGTTGATGGATATTCGGCACATGTTATATGTATAACTATATCCTCACCATTCTCTAGCTCTGCCAGATTCCGGCCCCTCTTTGCCTCCTCTGCCAGATTCTGTCCCTTCCCTGCCTCCTCTGGGACTGATCCTGTCTTCACCTTTCTCTCTTTCTGTGTCCCCGTCCTTTGTTTTTCCTTCACTCTGGAATCAGGGGCAGACAATCCTGAGGGAGGCTTGGGATCAGGAGGAGATAACTCCGGAGGGGATATTCTGGTGGACTCTGTGATTTCTACACTCTGTCTATTTTGGTCTAACAAACTATTGTCCACACTGTCTATCACAGTACTCAGTGAAGATGTGAATAACCTGTCCTTGATAACCTGTTAACAACAAAGGACGACAATGGGTTATTATCAAAACATACAAAATCATATTGATTCCTTAAAACAAATAGATAGATAAACATGTATCTAAGTGATATACCTGTCCTATAGCTGAGTTAACACTCTCAAATCTCTTCATAGAAGGACTATGGCACTCTCTTGGTCTGGGAATGTTTTCTTCTCCTTCAGCTTCATCCTCCTGTGCCCTACTTTTACTTGAATGTTTAACATCAGACTTTACATGTTGGCTTTCATGGTTTTTCTTTCTCTTTGGAATGTCACTTGCACTTTCTTTAATTCTATTTTCACTTTCACTAGTTTTTGGTTTGGTTGCCTCCACATCTGGTCTCTCTGCTTCTAGGTATTTATATCTCCCTGTCTTTTCTTCAAGGTCAGATGATTCAGATTCACCTTTACAATTGTTGTCTTCTGACCTTGAACTTTGACTTATTTTTGACTGCCTCCCCTCCTGTTTTGACCTTTCTGTTGTAGGTGACCTTGGTGTTTTACCTACATACTGTTGAGAGTGCTGACAGGGAAGTAGGTCACACATTAAATGTAAATGAGGTTCCACTCCTGTCTGTTTCCCTCGCCTTCAAGGTATTAGATGTATAACAAGCATTGTAGAAGAATGAAATTTTACTTGATATTTTCTTATCTTTAGTGTTTGGAGTCTTTAATTCCAAAGTTACAAAAGTTTTGTCCAGGCATATTTGCAAAAAGGAGGATTTTCAAATCATACCCCGCTGTTTTAAACAGTGAAGGGTGTCTTATACCAGAAGAAGAATTCTGTGAAATAAACTCACTTTCAGACTGTAATTTTACTTGAGATGAACAAAAATAACATAGCTGCTTTATAATAAAAGATTTTTTTTCAAAAGTTGCAATTGACTAGTAAAATTTCCAGATTAAAATACTTACTCAATGTTAAGTGTGCATTTCATTTAAAAAACAATTAATTCTAATTTTTTTTAATTAAAAAAAGAAAAGAGTGGGCTAAAATTTACTTTGACAGAAAATGACTTTAATCAATATTGTACAAAAATAAAATACATAAAATACTTTTTACCAGAATGTTTTGGAATAATTAAGCATTTACTACCCCTACCCCCAATTTTAGTATCCGTTTGCTGATACAAAATAAAACTTTTATTCTCAACACCATTAGTATGATTATGCCATACTTATATATTGATAAGAGTATTTGTAAAGCAACATAAATGGATAAGTCTTATGACATTTTTAACAATGTCCTTGACCTTTTGACCTTGAAAAAACGTATTCATATAAGAACAATTCTGGGAGATAAAAAAAAATGTACATGTAATCTTGTTATTATGTTAGCTGAAAAAATAAGGGTTTTTTTTTCCTCATATTTACAGGGAATTGCAAAAATCATGAAAATAAAATAAATTTAATATAAATATTTATTATGATATCCCCCCTCCCCATCCAATTTTTCTCTATACAATAAATAACTATAGATTCAAAAACCAAATGTTTTTTTTCCGTATTTTTTTAATTTATAAAAAAAAGTAATAGTAGAAATAATTTAGGCCTTAACGTTTTATTCTTTTTTAATTAAATTCCTCTCTGTTACGGTTATTTTGTGAACCTTTAATTAATTGGAGCCTGGAAGATTTTTTTTTTAGTTTGGAATCACAACCTTAAATTAGTACACAGTCATGTAATAATACTATAAGAAACATCTGTTATATCCATGGTTTCACTCAAAGAAAACTTGGGAAATTTTTCAATTGCAGGGCATTTTTTTTGCAAACAAATGTAACATGCACCGGTCTATATAGCTGTAACCGCGGTTTAGTTTAGTGAATTAACATGATTATAATATAGATACAAACTTCTACATTTAAATATATGTACATGTTTCTTTACTGTGTTCACTGAAAAACGAATAGAAATAACAAAAATCTGTTAATAAATTACATAGTCCAAAGAAATAAAAACTTATCTCATTTTCTTTACACATCGAAAGATGTGTACTATTTTTAGAAGTTGGAAAACCCCAACTATGCATTTTACTTTGAAAAAAATGTTTATGCAGCAATTTGTCTAACAAAACTACCGTATCATGGTTTTCTATCAATTTAACATTTGTTCTTTCCTATGTTAACTACTTTTCTCTGCTCTGATGACATGTATAATGCTAGCGTCTATCAAACCGTGTTGACGAAGAGCCATGCTTGTTTACGACGGCCGATAACTCTTAGACATAAAATATGTTACGACATCGGCAATCATCGGCAAATGCCGTCATTTTTACCGGAAGTGCCCTGTTATACATTTAAATCCTTAAATTGAGGATATAAAAACGAGAAAAATCATCCTTAGAATTGGAATCGCATGTATTCTCAAATATACACGTATTTATAATTTATACTAAGTTTGTCAAATACAATTTTTTCCTTCGGTATTTAAAATTTATATAAGATTTGTTTTAACGGATAATGTACTTTTTAAATATATTTTTTTACATTAATATGTCCAAATATTTTACTTTGGAATTGCATGACAACGGAATCTTACCACTACAACGACTACATAATGCACTGAATTTTGTGAATTGACTTTGTTTTTTTTTCAATATATAAAAAGGTTGAAAATTGTCTTCCACCACTTTTGAAAAAAAAAACTGCAACGTTCCTTTATCAAGAGATTGATTGTTCAAATCGCTCCTCTGAGAACTTTGGCTAGGAAATGGGTTACCATACAGCACAAATCATTTCAGTACTGAAAAAAGTCTACAGGAGGTTGAATTCTAAACAACCGTAGCGTCATTCCATATCGATTTAACAAAAGGCCTAGCTTATTTTCAGCAGATATTTTCTGTTTATTTTCTTTTTTTTCTTTTTCCAACATATTACTTTTTAAAAATTTGAATCCCATCGACACCCTCCCTAATCCAGACAGCATGATTTAAACAGATCTGAATCTTCACTCAAACAGGAGGGATTCTTTTACATGTATGTAAATATGAATATTCGTGGCTTTCTGTTCTTGAGGAGAGTGTTTTATTCAAAACTTTCACTTGTTGAATGAGGGCGTGTCTCTTCTTTTGAACAAACCTAAAACTCCTTCATCCAAGGAAGTTTTTTCGTTGAAACTGCCCCATTGGTTTTGGATAAGAAGTCAAAAACGTTTACAGAAGGGCGAAGAAACAGACAGTCAGCCTACAGAGATGTTATCAGAAAAGATCACCTGAGCAGGTGAGCAAAAAATGCGTGTATTTGAATTCATTTCCGAATACTGTTGGTTTGAACGTCTCTTTTTAGTGAAGTGTTAGTAATAAATTAATACCACGGAACATTTCTTCTTTTTATATTTAGATGCATAAGTTCACGAATGGAAAATTTTGTGCAATTCTGTTGATATATATGTGAATATTATCGAATTTTGACTAGCATTTTATGCATATAGATATTTAAGCATCTTTTTGGCACGAATGCCTGTGATATTTTATTTTTCTGCCTTCCATCTTAAGTTATCAAAATGTTTTTTTTATTCATTTGTTGTCAGATGTGCGATAGCTCTTGCATAGATATTATCTTAAAAACACTCTTTCAGCTAATATTATACGAGTTTTACTGAATGTGTGTTTATGTCCAGAGCAGGTGTAAAAAAAATCACCTTTAATAAGTGTAAAAAAAATTGCATATGTTTTATAAAGTGGAAAAGATGAGAAACTGAAATAATGGCAAATGAGGATGAACATGTATGTACATGTAACAAGTCCTTGAAAGATAAAATGAACAACAATTCTAACTCTTTAAGAACTTTATTTTAACATTTTTTAATTGTAATTAAGAAATTACCTCTGTAAAGGTCTGTTCTCCATTGTGATCATCAAGGGAGGCAATAATAAGAGATGGAAGACTGTCAAAAAGGCAAACAGCAAGCCCTACCAAAATAAAATAAGTGTAAGATTCATCTATACCTTACGTCCAAAACAATATTCATGTAGAATTCAGTAGCTGTGAAACAAATTGCTATTCTTTTCAATATATGAGCATTTTCTGTTCCATGGTGTTTTATTGGCAAATTTATTTGGGTACCTTCTTTCCAAAAGAATTAAGGAAATGGATTTAACATTTCCACTTTGCTATTATATTTTTGATAAAAGTTGGTTCAAAGGGTTCTAGCGTTTCAGAGAGAAAGCTAAGACGACACCGAAATTTATTTCAAAATATATCAAGATGCGAGCAATAGAAAAAAGTAACATAATATTGATAATATCGTCATATAAATACTCACCCTTCGAAAGGAAAGACTTTCGCGCTTGTACCACATTTGATTTATAACTTTCTTGACAATGTCGTCGTTTAAAAAAACCCTGTTTTCTGTTTTAATGGCATCTGATAGATAACCGTGATTTAGTAAAAGTCTTCCAGCATGATCATTTCGTTTCCCTAATTCCTTTGTTTTCATATCTGCATCATTCCCTTCCTTATATCTTTTCTTGTAGACCTTTGTGTCACTTTCATGAATACAACTTGTAATTCGTAAGGCCTGTTGTGTGCACAACCTAAATTAAAAAAAACATTTAGAATCCATTAATCCCTTACGATCCAATGATTAAAAAATGATGTCTCAATTAGTATATATTTGGAGATAAATGGATACAGAATTTCTTCAGTATTAAGAAATTGAATTCAATTTTCTTTCTTACAGTCTTATTAATCTATACAAATTATTGTCGCTTTTAATCACATTGTTATGAATCTGAGTAAGTAAATTGTAGTCATTTACTTTATCTAACATGCCTTTATTTGTTATTTTTCTTTTTTTGGATCATCAGTCTTTAAGAGATAAAAGTGTATTTCCAAGCTACCTTTTGAAAATTTTAAAACAGGAGGCTCATAAGCTAAAACGTTCGCTTAAGAGCTCATGTTTTTAAAGATACATGTAGGCGCTGTCATCGGAAAAAAAAATTCCGAATGCACAGATGTAGTATAAATTCATTAAAGATGTCTTAGTTTAAAACTATATGAAACTTTGTGAAAATGATCTGCTCAAGATCTCGATACAGTCATTTCAGGCTACATCCAGTAAGGGACAGTCGTTTTCAAAGTAGTGTAATAAAAGCCTATTCTTGTAAATTCCATAATTCTTACAATCATTAGAAAAATACCCTGAGAAGCCTTTTTGTTCGGATATATAACCAATAAAGTTGTTCTCTCATAATGACAACTGTAATCTTCTAGCACTTACATTTTCATCTGTAACAACTTGTCTTTTTCTATCTGGCTTGTTTGCCAATCATTTGCTATATCTTGTAAAATGACACAACCAACCAATAGGTGAGGAATACGAACCTTTAAAGATAGAATTACATAAAATAAGATCTGTACAAAAAATATCTTGGAAAGGTAATTGAGACTGAAAAAAAAATCGTTAAGTTCCAAAGATAAAACCCCTTTCCAGTACAAGGATCACAAAATGTAACTATTTATGATAAAAAAAGAATGTTGTTTTTTTTATTTTAATTTTTATATATTTATTCCAATAGAGCTTAATTTTCAATTCAATCTGAAAACCAGTTTAACTCCTCTTTAATCACATATTTTTTTAATGCAATTTCAAACACATTTAGGTGTTAGTAGCACGATTGTACTTCAAAATAATCCCAGTATTCATGTATTTTAATTTTTGTGAAAGGGATATAACCCATTAAACATGTCAGTTTAACTGTTTGTTGTGGTATCATTAGTAAAAGATTATCTAAAAATTTACTTCAGTTTTAAGATATAATCGAAAACATGTATATGTAACCCATAACTTACATGTAACCCAATGGTAGTAATTCCCTTTTTTGGACCGGAATATTACTATGGAATGTATATGTTGCTTTTTACAATTGCAATGGTATACCAAACAATGGATAAGGCTTCCATTTTTGAGACTTTTTTTGAATTAGCAAGCTTTTACAACCAACTTCCGACAAGTACAAAACATACTATTTTTTATCATTAAAAACATCTTTGTTGATCATGTACATGTAAAACTTACTAAAGATTAAAATGAATCATATACTTACACTTCCTGTCTCGATAAGCTGTTTGGCACCTTCATAATATTTCTTTTTCAAAAGGGCAAAAAAGATTAATCCAAAAAGGCCAGAAATTTTTATATCTAGTCGTCCAGTTGAAGCTGGAAATTTGAAAGAGTAAATAAATAGAGATTTTATATATACGAGGGTTGTTCAAAAAGTTCGTGGACGATATCAATCTTTATTATATTACTCACTAGAATTTTGAAATTAGCACTATATAATATGAAAACAATATTTGTTTTGTAGATGTGTGAAGTTTATTCCATTCGATATAACAGAAATTGATTTATTTCATTTTAAAATCTACATGTTTTGTAGTCGCGAAGCACCATTAACGGCAATGTAACGTCAAAACATAGCGTCAAGTATTTTTAAAAAATACTACCCCAAATATTTCACACAGTGTTATGCAAAACACACTTATTAAAAACCTTTTTTTTCTAATACTTGACATTTATTTTTAACAATTGTTTTTGATGTATAACTTTGTTTGTTAAGGTTTTCATTTTTTTAAATTAATTAACTCTGCTTTCACATGATTAGCTACTCTGAAGCGCATATGTCTTTTCCTTTCCTTCAGATATTTTTACAGTTAAACTGATTCTTCACAGATTGTCCTCATCCGATACAGAGTCTCTTTCACTCTAATACTTCCTGTACTATTTTTCCACAACTCGCTTTTGACTTTTTTTCTATCCTTCAACATTTTAAGAGTTTATTCAGAATTTTTCCTGAGTAAAACACAAAACAGCATCCTTATCTGGAACACAAATTGATTTAACAACTCTTAATTTGAATTTCTAGATTGTTTTTCATTTTTGCTTCATTTTACAGAGAATATATGATTACAGGCATTATTTGGTGTATTGTTTATAACTTGCTAAATTTTGACCTGCTCCGCGAACGGATTTTTGCATTTTTTAAATCTTGATAAGTTTTGAATAAATCGTGATAATTAAAAAAAATCAATACGAATCATTTGAATTTATTGTTAAAATATTTTCACCAAATTTGGAAAATATATAACGTCCAATAAAAAAGATATGACAGAAGTCCACAAACTTTTCGAACAACCCTCTGTAGTGTGGATGCTCCCTCCCCCGGGGGACCCTTCAGATCTGTCTCCGTGAACGACAGGGTCTGTTTGACATCGGAGTAATCTTCCGTTCTCTTCCCATATAAATCTAACATTTTGTGAAGTGAATATGGACTCCTATCATCTGTGCCTGTCAGACTGAAATCGATTTATTTTCCAATATATTGGTTTTATTCAAGACAAGAAAAAGATATCAATTTTTAATACTATCTTCAAGCTATTACAATACTTTCTTGTTAAACATGTTAAAATATAGGGGTGAAACGGTTCACCGCGGTATCGGTTCACCACGGTATTTTTTCTCGGTTCGATACACGGTACAAAATCTCTACTTTCGGTTCGGTTCGTTTTTCGGTCGGGATCGTCATTCAGTCGGATTTGGCATAAGGTATAAACATGCTTCTCTGTGTAATTAGTTCAAAAACGTAAACTTTTGTGGACTTAAAGTTTGTAATGATTTTTAACAGTCAAATCAATTAAGGTGATTTATTCTATCCATTTTGCACATAAATTCTTTGACTTGATTAAATAAAAAGAAGGATAAAACAACAGTTGAATTTGTTTCCTTCTATCAAAATGTATCGTATCGAAAATAACCGAACCGAGACCAAATTTTTCGATACGTATCGAACCGTGAAGGAGGCGTATCGTTTCACCCCTATTAAAATACAACAATTGAATTGAAGAAAACAACCCACAATGATTAAAATCAATTATAAACTGATGTTAGGTATCACAAGACAACTAGTACCCCACAGAAGATGGTCTCTCGCTGCTCGGCCAGGATTCATCAAACTTTGAGGAAGCGTTATCATCAGGAGGAGGGGTCTTTGTTAAGTACCGATTACCTCCCTTGAGGAACACTTCATCCTCGACACTGGGTTGCTTGTCTCCTTTATCTTCCTGCTTTAATGGACTACCCAAAGCTGTCTGTCAAATAAAACATGAATATTTCATTTAAAGGTACTTGGACACAGATTTGAAGTTAATATTTTCTCATTTTTTCTGTATAATATCACGAATTATATATTTTAATAGCATTTCACACAAAAATTAATCAAAAATCTTATTCCACTTAAAAGTTATTAAAACTTTAAATTTTTTGGCGGGTTTGATTGACACATCCTTGCACTTTCACAAATTTTAACTTTATTCTTAATCCTTAGGAAAAGTGGCAATTTTGATGTGTTTTAATGAGAAATATTTAAACTTTTATCAAGAAAAATAATTTTATTCAGAGTAGAAATGTTAGAAAGCAAAACACCTTCACAAGTATCGTCATTCCGAACTAAGAGATGCGTATAGAGTTTAGCAAATCGAGCACACTCGTGTTATGTACACAGTTTTTGTAAACAGGACTCGAGTCCTGTTATTGTTTATATTTAGAATTCACCGGGTGCGTTCAATCGTCACAGTCTGCTTACCACAACTGCACGGACTGACAATATATTGTGTGTTTGTTTTGCTTTCGAACGTGTCTACTCTGAATTTTCTGGATTATAGTATTAATATTTTTCATTTATACAAAACGAGATTGCCATTTTTTCTAAGGATTAAGAATAAAAATTAAAATTTGTGAGAGTGCAATGATATGTCAATCAAACCCGCCGAAAAATTTGAAATTTCAATATCTTTTTAACGAAATAAGATTTTTAATTAATTTTTGTGTGAAATGCTATTAAAATATATAAGTCGTAATATTATAGAAAAAATGATAATTTCAAATCTGTGTCCAAGTACCTTTAAATACAATGAATATACTATTTAATCAGAAGTTATTGGTGAAAAAGGCTGGTCTGCAATATATATCATCGTAGGCCCTATATATTTGTTATGTATCAAGTATTTATCCCACATTTACCTCTTTATCCCGTGGATATGACTCATTGGATATTTTTTTTATATCCCACACTTAAGTACAGTTATGACATCACAATGGTTTTTGCTTTCACGCGATAAAGTAAAATTAAGTGGAGTATTACATAAAACACAGTAGAACATCGGTTGTGAAGTATTAAACATGAGATAAAAAGAATCTCCCATGATTTGTAGCTGGATATGATTTTTATCCAACTCGTTGTGTGTTTTTATCCCCTCGTCAAGGCTCGGGGATAAAAAAAAAAGCACAACTTGTTGGATAAAAACCATATCCAACTACAAATTATTGGAGATCCTTTATTTATCCTGCCTCTGATAAAAATCATCAATTTTCATTGGTCGAGAAAAATACTGTATCAATCAATACTATGCTGTCTATCCACATCATATTACTTATGACCCCCCTCAACGTGACCTACCCACCACACATCAAATCAATATGCCCCTCCACATTTTTCAGCCGAGCACTAATCAGAATGCAGCAATCAATGTGAACACTCGCTGGATATCTCTCACTCTACTCAAACATAATGATTAGGTTTTTTTTATATGGGACTGAACCTTAATCTGTTCTCTTACATGTACATTTTGTTTACCTTTCTTTGACTTTTGGAGAGATATTTGTGTTTGCTTGGATGATAATGTGCTTTTGGTAAAGGTTTAACTGCAAACGGGTCCCTGAAAAGAAATAGGCCTATCATGCATGAAGAAATGAGTTCAGAAAAACCTTATCATTCATTTAAAGCATTTTTTAAACGTCTAAACAACGATTTCACCGTCAAAATAAACGACTATCAGGTTCATTCATGTTTTTATCTGCAAAATCATATTTCTAACATGGTCAGAAAATACAGTATTTCAAAAATATCAAAGATTTAAACTTTTTACACACCTATAAACTTTCTGAGTCTTTGACTCTAACACCATATTCTATATTTTGCTCCTCCAAAGAAAACCAAATTCACATGCACGAACAAAGTTTAACATTTTCCGCCATATTTAAACAAACGCGCACTCTTATATGAAAGAAACGAATAAAATATTTTATAAATTTTCATTGATTTTTTCAGACAATTGCTTCAAGATAAAAAAAATATTTGAAAAAAATACTTTTTTAAATTAGCTAGAATAAAACAAATTTCTTCTCTTAATTATCCGTACAAGATATTTTATTTTCGTTTTGTGAAAAATTATGATCTGCGTTTTGTTTATCAAAATGGCGACTAACATTAACAAGTCGAAGGAACAAATTGTTGCTGGTTTTCAGGAATTAAGACAGCAACAGAGAGCCATAGCAACAAAAATATCGGAATTAGAAATGGATATGAAAGAACACGAGTAAATATTTCTTAAAAATCTCTAACGACGGCTCTTTTGTAACTTTTGATACCACGTTGTTCTGGCACGCATTAGATAGCAACAGCTTGTAATGGCAATGGAGTTTGATTTGAATGTGGGTGGTTACGTTGATTACTTGTTTGACCCGGGTGGTATCGACACGAATCCATCTTCGACCCGAGTGATTTCGTTCCAAAGCAATTTCACACTTTCACTAGTTTTACATTTTATTGTCTGTCTACATGGGATTTCTTTATATTTTAATTATTTGAATAGTATTAGTTATTGTTTATATATTCTATGCAATTTAATTAATTAAAACGTAATATTATAGAGAAAGATTATTTTCGTAATTTTCATTGGCTGAAAGGACATCACGTGATATTCCTCCTTTTGCGATACCGACGTGAGAGCACGTCCGCTTAAAGTGATATCGCACGACACACCGTTCGGTTGCACTAAAGTTACGTAGAACGTGAAGTCATAATATAAGTAGCGTGTTTTAACCATTGTGACGTAATGACAGCCAAGTCTGTTCAGTTAGAACTGTGTCAGTGCATTCACTTTGAGTGATTATATAATATTTCCATTTCTAATTTTTTTCTCTGTGATAACTCTTTGAAAGTTAGGGGTAGTTTATTTCTAGATAATTCTGCCAGAATGTAAATTAGGCAGGTCGATAGGTCGGGAGCTAAGGAGGCCTAATACGCATGCAATTCTCGTGCGCATCTGTCTCTGTGTCTGATGCTAAGGAGGCCAAATATGCATGTAAATCTTGTGCGGCTGCCTTTGTGTTTGACGTCGGTTGGCGAGGTCTATTGAAATTGGCATGGAAGTAATCATGTGATTTAAATCTATTTATCTACATTTTTAAAGTCTACATCTACAATTTTATTTCACAATGAAATGGAAATATAAGGAATCACTGTCTAGTTAGGAGGGTATGTCAGGGACATCAACAATAGTGGGAAACATGGGATAAATTAAATTAAGCATAACGGGCGAAGCCCGTTATGCAAATTATCCCATGTTTCCCACTGTTGTTGATGCCCTGACATACCCTCCTAACTAGACAGTGATTCCTTAAATATAACTATTATGGACTTCAGTGAACAGTCGATATGTGGTTATCAGGACTCGTGGCAATTGATATTGACCTCAGACACAGAAAATTATAGCGACCTCGCAGGCTCGCTCGGTTTACAGTCAACTCGTACACAAACCGAGTCGTACACAAACCGAATCGTAGACAAAAAGCCAACTCGTACACAAATCAGAAGTCAACTCGTACACAAATCAGAAGTCAACTCGTACACAAACTAGTGTCAATCGTACGTAGGTTTTCCAATATGATTTAAGGTATAGTTTTTCTCAGTGTACAAAAATTGAGGAGTCAACTCGTACACAAAGGTTTTTTCGTACATTTCCATCTATTTGATGCCTCTGAATTACCTAATGATATACCATATGTGCAGATAAATTTTTCCCACAAGATTTTGAATTTCGTAGAAATTAGATCTGAGGTGTCAACTTGTACATTTATTGTTAATATATAAATATTTATTTGATACATAAATGAGATGTCCATTTTTTGATTCTATGGATTTTATTTTATATCTTATAATTTTATATCTTAAACGACATAATAAATTTGATTTAATTGGATTCCTAATTGTGAAACATCACCACAACAAATTGTAATATGTTAATTTTACATTTTAAAAATAGCCTTCTTTCTTGCAAGTAATATATAGATATAAATTATATTACATTTAGAAAGTAAAAAAATTAATGGCACCATAACGTTTATATAAAATATATATATCGTGTAGATAGTAAATGCGTTTGATATACATCGTAAGTTTTTAATGGTATATCGTATCATTACATACAATTTCTATAAAGATTTATCAAACTTATCAAATTAAAAAAAGAGGTACTTCTAAACAGAGTACGATTCGTAACGATAGAGTAAAATAACTTCTAAGATAAGGAACACATACACCTTTTATTTAAAATATGTTTATTATGTTGAACCAATGTAGAAAAACATACAAAAAGCAGTTTAATTGCATTAAATTATAAAATTTTATTAGCGTACTCTAAAGTACTCTATCGTACTACGGTACTAGTGTACTCTGTTTAGTAGGACTGTTAAAAAAGATTTTAAAAATTTAGTTTTTACTGCAGGATAAACACGTCTCTCGCACCATGGTGAAGTTTAAAGAAGGGAAAAATTTGGCCCAAATTAGGAGCATATCGTAATTA